AAGAATAAGCGAGCCTCTCGCCATTTTCTCCGAAATTTCTTCCGAAACGCTTGAAACTCGAGACACTGACTGTCAAATCTAAGCATGTAAGATTGATTTAGATTCGATTCAAATTCACGAACAAAGAAAAGAATGTACTTGGCTGGTGAAATGTTTCGTGCATTTAGCAATATAGAAATGCTACGAAAGTTTGGAATAGTTTTTCGTAGGTGATCGACAAGTGTACTGATAATAGGAAAATAACTTTTAATCCAAATTTTATGTTGAGGAAAAACATTTGCACTTTTATTCAAAGTTTGCAAACACTAACGGAGCAAGCTTAATTAGAAATGAAGAAAATGTACTCGACGTTTGCGAGCAATTTGTAACCACTGTAAATATATGCTTTTCATTTTCTTGAAAATTTATTTAGGATTTTCAAAGGCACGATCGCTCTTCCAGCAAAGATATTTTCACCGTAAATTCTAAATTAACGGCCTTGAATTATTGCCAAAGTTTGTCTCTGACACGAGAAATTTCCTACGAGAAACACCACGATTCCATGAATAAAAGAGAAGCTCATCGGAGCCTCAGGGAAACGAACACAACATTTTTGAAAACGTGCGATGAAACATGGATCGTCTGTGATAACATCGAGTGGAAAAAAAAGCACAGTTCAAAAGCGAAGATTCATCAGTGGGAAGGTTATGTTGTCGATTTGGTGGGATTGGAAAGTGTTGAGTGAACCATTTGTAAAACACGAGGAGTTGTTGCAGCTAGGATGGGGGACTTTCACTTGTAAGAGGAACAAATTCATCTTCGATTCCAACGTCATCATTTTTGTCATCACTCTGAAAAGCCTTTTCGAAGCTACCAGAAAGATGGCAAAAATGGCCACGACACTTTATCGTGATAATAAACGTTGTCGTTCAATATAAAGAAATTTCATTGAGAAAGGAACGCAATGACGTACCTGATGGACCCTCGAACTGGGGAATTCCATTGCATAGAAACGAACCTGGGGAACTAATGAGATAACAACGTTACAATCTGGTGCCGAAAAAAACCAACAGGCGGGCGTTTGCTTTTGTTTCGCGTTCCCGTAGACGTTTAAACGGGGGCTTTTTCATCCCCCGTCGGGAATTACGTTCCGGGCAACTCAATTTGTAACACGGCCGGTTTTCGAGTAACGCGGCCGCAAATGACACGAGAAGCCCGATAATGCGAGAATTTCCAATTTCCAAGTTGCACGCTCGCTTGAAACACAATGATCCTTTGCTTCGGCTAACTTCTCTCTGTCTCTCTGTCTCTCTCTCTCT